CGCTGCGGCTGGGAGCCAGGGTGCCGGCCCCGCCGGCCGTGCGCGCCCGCTGCCATGGCTTTCCGCAGGAGGACGAAAAGTTACCCGCTCTTCAGCCAGGAGTTCGTCATCCACAACCATGCGGACATCGGCTTCTGCCTAGTGCTGTGCGTCCTCATCGGGCTTATGTTCGAGGTGAGCGGGACTGGGCAGGGGTGCTGGTGCGCCGCGGCGCGCACTCCTTTAGGTCCCCGGGCCTCATCCGAGCCAGGGCGTCTGGTGCCCTGCACGTTATCTGTGCCCCTGGCTTTGTGCACTGTGACCCCCGGCCTGTCCTCGAGTCAGCCCAGACAGCGCCTCACATACCCGCTCCCTGCTCGCGGTGCCGTGCTCTGTGGCCCCCTCCGGCACCCACCTTATTTCTGTAGCTCGCTGAAGCCCTGAAACCCTAGCCTGGTCTCGAAGCAGCCGCAGCTCTGCCACCCTGGGCCGACGCGTGTGGCTTCCTTTCTGGCGTCCGGGAGCCAAGCCTGGAGACTCCCTGACTGTAGTCATTGCACAACCCCCCTCCTCCCAAGTGGGGTCCACCGGCTCTTCTGAGTTCTTCCAGGGGGCGGGTCGCCCTGGCCCTTTCCCATCTCCCTTCTCATTTTCTAATAGTTTGCATCCTCGCCACTTATGGACCGAGCTGCAGGTATTCACGTGTGGCGCTGGCTCCATCCCAGCCTGGCCTTCTGTTCCTTTTTTTTTTTTTTTATCATCGTCTAAAAGGTTCAATTTGAGAAACCCTTTGTCATTCTGTAGACTGTCCCATTTGGTCCATATGTGGTGTACCCCAGAGTTTCACCCCGTTTAGAGGGTGGAGGAGAGGGACAGGGACAGTCTCCACTGTAGCAGGGATGGGGGCAGAGAATGGGATCCCTCTTGGACAGCTGTGTAAGCTACAGCACAGGGAGCACTAGTAGGCCAGGGTTCAAAATCCAAGAGGGCTGATGGGAAGGACTCCCCACTCCTACAGCGTAAGTGTGTTACCCAGAAGTTGGAAGAACTGGAGAAAATCAGGAATGAGTTTGAGGTGGTCTTCTTGTTTCAGAGTGAGATATGTAGGTGGCACTTCCCTAGTCTCGTTGGTTCCTCTGTGAGGGATCCTTGGCCTTCCTTTGGGTAGGTTGTTATCTGCTTTCTGGGGGATGTTTTTGGAAGCTCTAACCATTTCCAAACTGCTGTAGAAAGGAGGACTCCCATTGGGGCTCATTTTTCCTTCCATGATCCTCTGTTGCTGGGTTCCTTGTCTCCTTTCTACAGACGACAAGGGCCCTACTTGGCTGGTGGAGCTGCCCTCAAGCTGGGAACATTCTTGTGGCCAGGTCAGGGTTGGATGAGTGCATGTGGGCTTGCCTAGGCTTCAGGATGTATGGGAAACAATCCTGATTTGCTTTTGACGGTGCTCTTTCACTTCAGTGCTTCTCCTCCTCACCATGGCTCTCCTGTCAAGTATGGGATAGGTCTGTGTCCCACTATGTTGCCATTGGTTTGCCTGAAAATGGACTGCAGTCTCAGTTCCCCCATTGTTGAAGACACTGGTTAAATCTGTTTGTCTCATGGGAAGGTTTTATTTTTATTTTTTGTTTTTTTGAGACAGGGTCTCACTATGTAGTTGAGACTGACCTGGAACTCACTATGTAGCCCAGCCCAGACTGGTCTTGAACTCACAGCGATCCTCCTGCCTGGGACTACAGGTGTGTGCCACCACGCCTGGTTTAGGAAGGTTTTAACTGAGATCATGTTAGCCAAAGAGCCCTGTTTCCTACTAGTGAGTGAGTCAGTTTCTTGCTCCTAGAGCCCTGATATTACTTATAACCATAATAGTTTAATGAAATAACCAAGGATTTGTTTTGCCCAGCAAATATCTTTTGTGTCTCCTCTGTTTTAAGTACCATGTTCCCAGTCTTAGAGGGCATGGCTGGAAAGACACACGTGTCAGCCATAAACCTCATATCTACTGGCTCTGGGGCTGGCTTTGTCTCTTGCATTGTCTAGGACTCTGCTCTTTTTTTAGTGTTTGTTGAGGTTTCTGGCTCTACCTGTTCTATCTGTGAAAAAAAAAAGGCTACCTAGTTTTGAGCTTCATATCTCCTTACCCCACTCACTTTGGTCTTGTGGAAAATCCTATGTATTAAACCTCCCAATCTGTGAAAGGTGAAATGTGGTAGGAACTGTTCTGCCCAGTACTGAAGGATAAGAAAGGCCCATGGTGAGGAAAAACAAACACAGCTGCTCTCTCTCCTGCCTAGGAATGGACTGGGGAGTATGGAAAGGGTTACCATCCCTGCTTGTTCTGTAGCACCTGGGATGTGCAGTATGTACAGGGTAGGTATCTCCATGGAGATGTTGTAGGATCATCAGTCTGCACTGGTCTAGAAATAAGCAGGCTTTGCCTCAAACCTCCAGTACGAAGGCCTTGTGTTCTGTGCTAGACTCATTGGTCCTCATTGTCAGTTCCCACCACCAACTGACTGTGTAGAGAGAGAGACTTTTGTCTGTGCATGTATGGGTTGGGGTTGGAACTCTGGTGCTCCTACCAAATGAGAGCAAAGCTGTGTGTGGTAGTGTACTCCTGAGAGGTGGTGCACTTGAGAAGCTGAGACAGGAGGATCTATGTGAGTTTGAAGACTACATAGTGAGTTCATGGCCAGCCTGAAATGCATAGCAAGACCCTGTCTCAGAACAACAACAGAAGCATCTTGGGACCTGATGTGAATATTTTCACTTCATCAGTAAAATGGGGCTCGGAAGAGGATAGTGTGGAGGTACCTCAAAACCTAGCACAGGGCTGACTGGAACTTATGCAGCATCTTCTGCATTCTCCCCTGGGGGTGTGGGTATATGTGTGCATGTGTAGGGATGCACATGGTGGGGAAGGATGGAGTCCAGAACCTAACACAGTTTTTCCTAGAAGCAAGGCCAGAAGGAGGTGCTGGGGAACAGGAGGAAGCCAGGGGCCAGCAGGCTGTTGACTTTCTGTGTTGGGCCAGGCTAGGTACGATTCCTTCATTCAGAAGCTGACTGCAGAAAACAATTATAATTCTTCCCACAAAGAGTGATACCCCCAACTCCTTCTGGGGTCCCTACCCAGTTTTTGTCAGTGAGCTGGGCCCCAAGTTATCTACCAGTGCACACTCTGGGCAGTCATAGTCCTTCATGCCCATCTCAGTCCTGCCTTGCTTGTGCCCTCAGCTGTATTCATGGGACATTAATTTCCTTGGAACCTTAGGACTTCAGTTGTCTGTCTTCAGGGAGAGGTTGACTATAAGTTCCTTCCCTTGGGAACACTTCCTTTTGGGAAGACTGAGCCCCCTAAGTCCACACACTTGCACATGCACTTTTGCTTTAGTTTTGGGTCATTCTGTTTCTAAGGCCAGGTCCTTCCCCCTGAACCCAGGTTTCTCCAGTCCTGCAGGCTGTTTGGAATAGAGCTGTTCTGTGCAGCCACAGCACTTGGCTAAAATATGTCAGGAATGTGGAACTTTATTTTCCCCCTCCTTCCTTTCCAGCTTTCTCTTTCTTGACTTTGCTTTTGGAGAGGTGGCACAAGGGGGAGGTTTTTCTTCCACAGTTCAGTCCTTCAGTCCTTTCTTAGAAGGAGTCTGGGCTGTGGGTCCTGCCGGGTATGGGTGTCCATTTGGGCTGTGTGTATGTATCAGTTTGGAAGTAGTCTCCCCTCTCCTTTTCCTTTAAGTGTCCTGTCTTGTGCCACGTTTCCAACTGAGAGAGATAGGAGAAGAGGAAAACTCTTTCATTAGCAGATGGAACATGAGAAAAAAGGGGGTGCAGGAAGAGAGGGAGTCTGGGCTGTGGGTCCTGCCGGGTATGGGTGTCCATTTGGGCTGTGTGTATGTATCAGTTTGGAAGTAGTCTCCCCTCTCCTTTTCCTTTAAGTGTCCTGTCTTGTGCCACGTTTCCAACTGAGAGAGATAGGAGAAGAGGAAAACTCTTTCATTAGCAGATGGAACATGAGAAAAAAGGGGGTGCAGGAAGAGAGAGGAGAGAGATGGCAGATCTACCTTTTCTCCAGGGAACTATTTTGTTCCCTGTTCCTCACACCATGATTACTTGTTAGAGTGAAGAGTTTGCAGCATGTTTAACGGGAGCATATTGCCTGTGTCAAAGTGTGTGGGGTCTCTGGCCCTGATCACGATCTCCTGGATATATCTGTATGCTTCATAACCTGAAGTGAGGCTGCCATTCCTTTCTGTTGATGGTAGCATTGTGAAACAGTTCTGCTTCTGTCTTGGGAGAATATGTAAGTGGCACAGACATGCATCTGTGGACATAAGTTGTCTTTCCTTGTCTAACTTCTCATGTACATTTGAAGAAGTTTCTTGGCCAGTTTTTATAGTTCCTGATGTTGTGCATCTTGCTCTTTAGCCTGTGATGTTGTTCATGAGTGTTATAGAACAGCCAGAGCTCACTTCATTCTCTTGGGTTTGGTGTTGAATTCTCTTGTTTGGTGGGTGGATTTCTATATGCATACCTCAGTGATTTGAGCAATAGCAGAAATTTGAAGCTAGATTTTTCTCTTCTTCATTGTACCCTAGCCTTTGGGATGTAAGACATAAGCCTAATTCATATTTCTTCCCTCTGCAAAAATGTGTTATCTAGAAAGGTAACATCGATCACTTAGTGAGTTTTTGACCCTAATTGCAGGATGAAGACTAGCACATTCGAAAACACCCAGCATGGTGGCTGGCACACACGCACTTCTTCCATGGCTCCCAACAGCCATTCTGATGGCTGTTGTTACTGCCATAGTCATGGGATCCGGGTGTTCACCTCCCACCCTCAAATGGTTCATCAGGCTACCCTACTTGTCGTTCTCTTAAAGATGACATGTTTAGAGATGGAGACATTTCCCCCAAGTTCTCCAGCACTGTCCATCTACTCTTCAGATGGCCTAATCACTGGCTCTGCCTTGAGCTCTTCTTTTCTCCAGGGATCCTCGTGTTGTGGCTGCTTTGTGCAGAACCTCACTTTTCTCTGACATCCAGCACACAGGCCTTGGGTACAGGAGGGTCCTCTGTGCTGCTGCTGTCAGCTTTGCAGAGAAGTAAAAACCATGGGGAGACTGTCCCGCAAGCTAAATAGGTGCCACTTTTCTCTTGCTTGCTCTGTTGTGTGAACCTCAGTCGTGCATT